TTTAAAGAACATGTAGGAAAGTCAGATGTTGGCAAATACCAAGTATTAATTCTCTAATCTGCATTTTACTATTGTTATTTGGAGGAGTGAAATGGCGAGGGGTGGCTAGGCTTTGAGTATGTATCTGTGTGTCTGTGAACTTATCATTGATGATTTTTCTAACAGCTAATGTAGTCAGTGAGCAAACCAGTTGCTATTTCATGCATTCACACAAGTGAGATCTGCTTTTCCATCTCTTTGCGGGAGATGTTTACCGACAGGGTAATGAAGTAAAGCTGGAAAATAGACTTGAGAGATTCTGGCTTTCCTTTTCACTGAGAAACTGCAAAATGTTCTAAGAATTAACCTGGAAACTTAATTTTTTAAAAGTACTTTCTGACTCTGACAACCTATAGTAAATCCTAAATGCTCCATAGCATAAGAGAACTTTTAGTAGAATTTTTTTGTTAGTAGTATTACCAAGTGTACAAGTATTTCTTAGGATTTTTTACATTCAGTTTATGGACAGATGAACTCTTCTTTTTGGTCTCTGTATCTAATGGACATAAATGTATTACATACTTTTACTTTCTACTTTAAGCTAAAGTCATTTTATAAAAAAAAAAAAAACCTCAGTATTTCAATGGATTAGTTACCTTTTTAAATCTTTTTTTCCTTGTTGACAATATCTCGAATCGTGTGTGTTCTGTTTTAAATTAAAAATCACATTTTAATCAATAATTTACAGATTAAATTTTATCGCATGAGACATCATTACAAATCTTGTAAGAAGTATCAGGATGAATATGGTGTTTCTTCTATCATTCCAAACTTTCAGCTCTCTCAAGATTCAGTAGGGAACAGGTAAGTATGTTTATTCCTAAAAGTAGAATTTTTATAATTGAAATAGAAACTATTTTGGGAACTGTATGATAATATTTTTGGAGGTGTGGGTATGTGCGTATGTTTAAAGTAAATTGCCATATACCAGAACTATAGCATTTGCCTTCAAAATTTAAATGATACGCGTAAGATTGCATCTGAGAGATGAACTTCATGATATACTTAATTTTATGTTATTTAAAATCCATTTTAAGAATCTGCATTTCTTTAAGAAATTGACCTGAGAGTTTAAAGACTTTTTTCTTACCAGTTTTATAAATGAAATGATTTGAAAACTAGAGAAAACTCTTTTCAGTAATACATTTTGCAAACTCAATTTTTTTTTCCTTTGCTATCTGAGGAATAAACTTAGAGTTGTTTGAAAATTTTATTCTGATAATAAAATGTGATACATAAATGAGACTTGGTATAATTATTTTTTTT